GCAATGTTCCTCACCTACGGCTGTCCAGTATGCTGCGTGTAGCCTCTGCTCTAGGCTCCTCCTCCTATGAAGAGCCCTGCCAGGAACGCCACACGTTGCCACACAGCTTCCCCTGCACCTTGCTGAAGGACACAGCCTACATCGGCTCCTTGCCAGAGTCTGGAAGAAATCTGATCTGTAGAATTCTCGTATGACCCTCTACTGTCATAGTTAATGGTCCCAAATCATAGGATGCAAAGTCCCCCCTTGAGGGGAGGGACTGGGTCACAGAGGAGATGGCATGAGTCCTTGTCCTTCTGCATTCTGAATGTCCAGAGCAGCACCCACCTTGGGGGTGACTGTCCATGCGTGGCTCCGACACGTGTGAACAACTCTAAAGAAGTCCTAGCCTATTTTCTTATAGCAAATGATGTTTACGGTTAAGTACATTTGTTTTACTGCTTCGGGAAGTAGAAGTCGTTTAGAAATGAGCCTTTAGGTGATTCTCTCCTCAGGACACTTCCTGAAGCACCCCAAATTCTGTATCCCCAAGTCTCCCATGGGTTGGGCCATGTTTTAAACTCTTGGGTGAATCTGTACTCCGGGAAAGATGGAGGAGGTGGTGGCAGGTGTGACTTTCATGTTTCCCTTGTAGCATGGTATGCACATGGCACCGCTTGGTAAAGCACGAGACCCCAGGCAAGGCTCCCGTGGAAGGCTGTGGAGATGACCCACCTGCTGTCCAGAGCCTTGCCGTACCTGGTCTCCATTCAGTGGTGAACTAACCTGGCAGAATTCAGGAGACAAGATGGGCACCCCACACTGCACTGGGGCCATCTCTGTTAGGCTTGGCTGAATTCATCTTGCCTGTCTTCTATTCTGTTCCTAAGAGTGTCCATGTCCAGATAGGGAAGCTTCATACAGAAAGAATAGCTCTGCTCATGTGGCAGAAGTCTCAACTGGGGCTTTGGAGCCACCCATCTTGGCCCTGTGCAGAAATGATCAGAGTTGCCCTGGACCGTGAGTCGTCCCTCCTCCAAGTCACCAGCCACAGCACTGGAATCCCAGGAAGCAAGATGCTTTTGACCTGGAATTACCAACAGTTGCAGGTTTCTTGTAGACCCCACCCACGGTGTGTTAAAATGCCTCATACTCTATCCTTCTATAGCAGAAGCTAAAGGAAACAGGGCCTCTTTTTTTTTTCCAGCCCCCAGCCATCCTCCAAAGCCAAGTTAAAAAGCAAAAGTGAGGTTTGTACGACAATCTTCGCCTTCTGAGACCTCCATGGGGACAGGTGACGTGCTGGCCTAGAGAGATGGACCCATGTCAGCCACTCAGATTGGAACAAGTGTCCCCAAGTGACACTAAGCACTATACTGAGTGGTTCTCAGAGGGTCTGCAGCTTGTTCTGGGCTGGTCCCGAGGAACTTGAGTATAGCATTTAAAAGAGCGGGGGGCACAGAGCCCCTAATTATTGGAGTCTCAGCCTTCGTCAGTGGGGAGGTCTGGAGGAACTCCTCCATCATAAGAGCAGCTGTTAGCACCGCTGTCTCGCCAGAGCTCTTCCCTGGACGAACAGCCGGGAAGGCCGGCGGAAGAGGGCAGGGCAAAAGAATAAATTTCATTTTATTGTAGAAATGGAAATTTGTGTCATGGCTTTAAAAATCTGGTTTTATGTGTGTGTTTAAAGCCATTCATTTTAAATGTAGCCCCATAAATCCTTGCTTCGGAATCAAAGCTGTTTAATTGCGTTTCACCCATGGCTAGTTATCCAGTGCTGATGGAGAAAGAGTTAAAGAGAGAACCCCGGAGTGAATCAGAGGTGAGATCTTTAGCACAAGCATAAAAAATCAATTTGAGATGAGTTTTAGTACTATAAAAATTCTTCACATATCCTTTTAAGAGTGGGAAATGCTAGGAGACACGGCTCGCCCCCTGCAAGGTGGAAGGAAGGCCAACATGGGCAGCAGAGGCCTCCGAGCCATTGCTGGGAAATACAGAAGGCCCAGACTCATGCTTTAAAAGTGTTCCCTCACACGGTGAACACTGATGTCCGTCAGGACCCCTGTGTGCAGCACCCATCAGCACCCACACTAACCTGGCCTTGGTGTTGGGGTACTAACTAGCCTTAACTATCTGTTTTGTCTGTACCTACGCCTCCCCACCCCCCACTCATGTTCTATGAAGGTGGTGGTTTGTACAGGACCTAAAGGCAGTCCCATCCCTCCTGTGTCCTTGGTTGAGAGTCTGTGCACATAGCCATGGATTTTAGTCAGTGCCTGTCTGAGCAGGTGGCGTGAACCCTGGAGACTTCAGGCTCCTTGCTGGCTGCCTTGCTCTAAAGGGACCTGCTTACCTCCAGCAAACTCCACACCTCTTCCCTATTCCCTCAGTTCTCCCGCCATCACCATCGCCAGGGACCAGGAGGGCAAAGTCCGTTATGTATTTCTCCATCTCTTCCTTTAGACATCCTTGACACGCCATCCCCTTGGTTAGTGAGCAACAGAGGAAGAATGAAGTCACGGAGCATGTATCTCTAAAATTGAGTAATATCGAAGCCAGGCACGGGCAGAAGTTTCCCTTCCCATGATCAGACATTGCTAATAGGGAAAGCAATCAGGGCAATGAGACAGTTCCATCTCCCTAGGAGACTCCCAAGAGAGGCCTGTAGTCTGCATGCGGAGCGAGCTGTCATCCCTGGGGCCCACCTGGGGTGTAACAGGCAGCAGTGGCGGCGGGAAGGGACCCATACCTGTTTGTTGAGGTGCAGGACGGAATGAGGCCCCGCTTAGCAGTTTCAGAAAGACCAGTTGTGATAGCCACAGGACTGGGCAGCTCAGGGCCCGGTTGTGTGTATGTAGGGGTTGGAGGGTACAGAGGACAGTCTCTGGGTCTCTTCTCAGGTGCTGTCCATCTTCTATAGACAGGGCCTCTCACTGGGTCGGAACTCACCAAGAGGGCTAGGCTGTCTTCCCGTCCCCAGCACTGAGAGTCTGAGCACATGCTGTGGTCCCAGCCTTTTCACTTTGACACTGACAGTCTGACTTAGATCGCCATGCCTGTGTGGCAGTCCTTTGCCAGCTGAGCTATTGTCCCATCCTCCCAGGCCTGGTGTCTCCTCTCAACCATCCACATCTGCCCTTGTATCTTCATGCATTAGGCCTTCTTTCTCCATCCATCCTCTGGTTCCTTCCTCAGGGCCCAAAGCGTTCATATGCGTCTAAAGCCTTTTCTGAATGACTTCCAGTTCTCTCTGAAAACAATACAAAGGAACCCTGCTCTGCATCCTACCCTGGAAGTTCATTTCTTTGAAATATACAGGGACTTAGTGGAGTCACAGAGGCCCCCAGTAAGACGCTGTCCTAAGCAGTTACACACCTGCACAGGCCAGGCCTGTTCGCCTGCTGAAAGTCGGCCACTGCCTGTGAGAGTCAGATCTGCAATACACAAGCAAGGAAGGAGCCGCACACCAGCTCCTTGCGCCTCCTCAATCCAAACCTTCCCTGTCATGCTCATGGGACACCCTGCCATAGGACCATAGGATCATCCGGAGCTCTGGGAACCAGCTCCTCTGTGACTTGAGACCTTCCTGCCCCACCTCTAAGCTCTGACCTGTTGCTTTCCGCTTTAGTCTTTATCTGAAGCTGTTGTCCCCATCTTCACCCCTGGCAGCTCTGGTGACCTCTGTCTGCGGAACCCATCTTGCTCTCTACCAACTTTCCATAGGCAGCCAGGCCCAGAGTCCAGGCCCACGGCCTTACCTGCCACACTTATGACGGGGGTGGGGGGGGCATTTCCAAAGCTGACTGAAGGCCTCCCCTCCTCTCCAAGATGGCCATGTGTGGACCCAGACCTGTGGAGTGAATGGTTGTGCCAGCCCTCACAGGACACAGGAGCCAAGGGAGGCTGGTGAGATTTACAGTCCAAGGAATCTACACCTCTACACCATCCAGGCCTTTCCACCTTCCCATGAGAACTTTGACACCGCGATGCGTAAGAAGGACCCAGAGGAGCTGTGCCGTCCAGGCCCAGAAGTCACACAGAAGCATGCTGCTGTCTAGAGCCGGGAATAGAGAGAAGGAGAAAACTCACCAGAGAAATCAGATCCAGTGTCTGTGCCTCCTGGGTGTGGATCCCAGAAAATTGAAACAAAAACTGAGTCTGCCATAAAACTCCAGGCTCAGAGCCCAGAGCACAGAAGTGGCCTTCCCTCCCAGCGTGCGCTCTTAGCCTGTGGAGCACATCCTCGAAGGCAGACCCCAGCTGAGCGTGAACAGTGGGCGCCATGCAGGGCCAAATCAAGGAACAGAAGACGTCTCCGTGGAGGAGCAGCAAGAACCCGTCCAAAACGGCTAGGAAACGTTTCGGTTTTAAACGCCAGGGCATCAGCCGAAGGAGGGGGACCGCAGAGAGTGAGCAGGAGGATTTGTTACTAAGCACCTCCAGCTAGATACCCCAGGCAGGAGGGAGTCACCCCCACTAGCCTCGAAGCACTAAACTCATATGGTGATGTCACTTGCCACTGGTGCTAGGGAGCATGGGTCAGTGTACTCTAAGGAGCTTCCAAAGGTGTGGCCCAGAGCCATCTGAGAAGGGACCGGTCCCCTTCTGCTGTGGGGGTTCAGGGCGAGATGTGGGATGTAGATGGTATGGTCTGATTACTTGATGTTTGGGGAGAATAGTTTGGGTGGTGGTTAGCTGATGATGCTGACTTTCAAGCCCTACACCGGGGCATGGGATGTTCCTGTGTGCCGGCTCCTGGTTCCCATCCCCAGGCACTATGCCTGCAGAAACTTGGACCCTCCCTGCCTATAATAAGCCTGGGGATGGAAAAGTAAATATGGGGACTGACTGCAGTGCCTTCCCACCCAACGTCCCTTAGTGGTCATTTCTGTTATCTGGAGGTCTCTGTGTGTCTGGCAAAGACTCAGCCTGAAGAGTGGCCAACAGTCTCCCTCCATTAGCTGCAGTAGGTATGCTTTTCATGTGTGTGGTAACTGAGCGTCTTATCCCTTTTGCAGCCCCACAGAGGCCCCAGCTAGTCCTGAGTTGCTCAGTGGGCCGGAGGGACCGCCAGAACCCCTGGTGCAGTGCACAGCCTGGCTGGAAGCCTATTTCCATGAACCTGCAGCCATGGAGGGGCTCCCCTTGCCGGCTCTCCATCACCCTGTGTTCCAGCAAGGTCGGTAACCGCGCTCCCTTTGGGGAGCCTGACTTATTAACTATGGCTGACATCACAGCTCGTTTACTGACTGCACAGGCTTGGAATTTTCACCCCATCTAAACACAGGCGGCATGCAGCCAAGCCGAAGGCCGAAGGCTAAGAGCTCACGACCCCGCCCACTCCGAGTGGTTGTGTTAGTTTTGGCACATGGTCACATAATTCTTGGCAAAAGCAGTAAAAATGATGCATGCAGATCAACTCTTGACTCTGGCTTGGCTGAAAGGTTTAAATGGGAACACATCTGAATGGCAGTAAATTCTTCAATAAGCTTATTGTTGGCTTGAACTCTCTGCCTGCCAACAGCACAGAAAATGAGCCCTGTCTCTGGACAGTTAGCCACTTCTGTGAAGTGACTTGGTAACAGGGACTTCAGAGTCCACTCTGCCACTGCATCTTCCCAGATAAGTTTTAATTTCTCCAGCTTACCGTGTATGTGTTCTAAATGATGAATCTTAAATGCATTGCTTAAATATAGTTGGCTAAGGGCACTGAAGGTCTCCCAGTAATCTAAGAAAACATCCCATTTCTTCTAAAGCTTGTTTGGATCTGTTCAGCACAGAAATTAATTACCGCAGCTAAGATCATTCCGGACCTATAGCAGAAATTTAGTCTGCATACTGACTTTTTTTTATGAGAAATCATTTCATATAAATTAGTATATATTCACTTTAGACATATGCATGCAAATACGTGTGTCTCCTTAAGGGGGAAAACTATAATATTTTTTAACTATGGTGAAGCAATCTTGAGATTCAGAATGGTGTTTTCTAATAATAATTTAGGGATGTTTGAATTGTGCCTGCTTTTCAGTTCACACTTGAAATTGGAGAATTTCGAGAGAAAAAAAAAAAAACAAGGTCAGAAGCCCTCTAAGTTCAGGTTGCTGCCTGACCAGGTTCACTAAGGAGGTCAGACAAGTGAGGGGCTAAAACACAAGAATCTACTTTATGCAAATAAACTGAAAGAACAGCTGGAATGAATGGGCACCTTGTTCACCCCTGTGTTATCCAGGATTATCTTTGGAAGGTTGTGCCCAGCAGGGGTGCCAGAATTTGTTAAGGGGTTTCTGGGAGAGGTGGATGGGTATCTGCAGGACACCGCGTATCCAGTGACCACGCCTTCATCATTCACCCACTGCGGAAGAGAATTTGTGTGTGTACCTGCCCACACTTTGTGGGGGGACTGAGAGCAGTGACTGAAGTAACTGCGTGTGACTGTTGAACATGTCCAACTGCCCAGCACCAGGGACAGGTGTTGCTATGGAGTCCAAGGAAGTGAGGGAGGAGTCAGACACTTCCAACCACTGTGTCCCTCCCTTTGGGGTTATTGCCTGCTGAATGAGAGAGTGAGAGCGAGAGCAAGAGAGAGAGGGGGGGAGGGGGGGGAGGGAGAGAGAGAGAGAGAGAGAGAGAGAGAGAGAGAGAGAGAAAACACACCACAGTTCAGGGTCTCAGGATAGAAAACTATCTTATAGAGGCAGAGCTATCTCCATAATCCCATGAGGTAGTAGATGAAGAATGAGCCTGTAAAATCCTAACCTTTCCTGAGATTGGTTTTATGACTTAAAGAAAACTGTGGAGGCCAAAATTGTGAGGAAATGACTCACTTTTGGCAAGCCAGACAGTGGGGTCTGCTGGCCTGGTGCCACCAGGGTCCAGAGAGTAGCTCGCCCGTAAACAGACCAGACCAGTGACCTGGAGAAGGTGTGGTGTGAGTGTGATCTCATGGTCAGCGGAGGGTGCCCACCAAGAGTGGCACTAGAAGAGCCAGGGATTCCTCGGCAGTAAGAGATCCAGAGGAGCCCTGCCACACTCTCTTCCGCTCCCGTGCATATCAGTGGACTCCTGACTGAGGTGCCAGATCCCAAGAATCCCCAAGCATGTCTCCAGCACTTCAAGAGCCCACATCAGGCCCACACAGTGGCAGTGCCCTGTGCCAGCAGGTCCTTGTGGATCTTTGGAGCCAGGAAGATAGATCGAACCATCAGAATAGAGTAAAGCTGTGGGCCACCCCCAGCTCTACAATATAGGTGAGCACTTCCGGACAGACAGGATCCACTCTGGCAGTATTAGATAGGGCGAGGCTTCTTCTGAACGCTTTTTCCTCCTGGTGTGTCAGGAATTCTAAGACCCGGGCTGTCTACTCCCAAGGTTGCATGGACCAGGCCTGCCCCTGATAGTTAGGGGCTGCTGTGGGGGCCAGGGTTTCCCACGCCCTAGCATGTGCAGGCCAGGTGTTTTTAATTTAGTGTAGTCGTTTGCTCCTGGGCAAGGACCAGGTGTGCAGATTTTACAGCCTGGAGGAGGCCTAGGGTTGGTTAGGGCACCCTGGCTTACATGGAATTAATTGGGTCCACTCCACATGTGTCCAGTTTGCATCTTGTAACGCCAAGGAAAGAGCAGAAGGAGAGCATCTTGGGATATCTCAGTGTCCTTGGGGAGCAGGAAGAGTAGGTCCACTTTGATACAGAATTAAATTTCCTTTACCTGCTCCATTTTTCTGTGCATTTTGATTTCTGGATTTGTCAGGCATGCTTTTGCATGTCTTTTTTCTTAGGGGGTGAGGAACAGTGTTTGTTGTGGATTGTTTTTGTTTTGTTTTCTTGTTTCCATAGTCCTGATCTGTCCATTTCAACCTGTTTCTAGAAGAAGGGGCTTATGGGCTGGAGAGATGGCTCCGTGGGTGCTGTGCTTGTTGTCCAAGCCTAACTAACTGGGATCAGATTCCACGTGTCTACACGTAAGACAGATGAAGTGGTTCATACCTGTTACCCCAGTGTTCCTGTGAGCTCTGATGAGACAGGAGAATTACTGGAAGCTACTGGGCCAGCTAGCCTGGCCTATACAGTGGTGAAGGAAGGATAAGGGAGCCCCTGTCTTAAACAAGATAAAAGAAAGGACTGGTGGTACCCAAAGTTTGTCTCCGATCTTCATGCCTACCCTGTGGCTTGTACTCACCTGCACTCGTATGCAAACATGTACAATTATACACACAAGATTTTCTAAAGGGGGTTGTTGTATTTGAGTTCATCCTTGGGCCCCCACTTGGTATCTTTTGGCCCATGGAGCTGCAGACCTTCAAAGGCAAGACCACCTCTCCTTTCCAGGATTTCTCTATGACAATGATTGTCAGCCTTCCTAATGTTGTGACCCTTTAATGCAGTGTTGTGGTGGCCCCCAACCATAAAGTTATTTTTATTGCTAATCCATAACTATAATTTTGCTATTGTTATGAATTATAATGTCAATATCTGAGTTGTCCAGTGGTCTTAAGTGACCCCTGTGACATGGTCGCAACCCACAAGTTGAGAACCACTACTCTACGAGTTGCGTGTACAGTTCTTGCCTTTTAAGGATATAACCTGTATTAAGTTGAACCCTTTGAAACTGCATTTGGTAGATCTAAACTATAACCTCATTTCTGCTACCTGGGGACTTTACAAAGATTAGTAACATTTGGTTTATCTGGGCATTTCTTTATGAAGGAACAGTGGCCTGGAGCCTGTGATGTCATGTCCTAGGACTCAGCAAGTAAAGGTGCTCCCAGAGGGCAAGGGTGGGGCCCCCCAGGATAATCATGCCCCCTTTGCAGGGTTAAAATGAGACGAAGCCCAGCATATCCCTCTACTCTGCAGCCTGAACTGTGGGAGGATCAAAGACAAAGATGGGTAGGACAGGAGCCAGCAGGTGTGAAAGGCCAGCATGGGTGCAGAGTGTGCCCTGGAGGCAACCAAAAGAGATGCAGAGGGACATTTGTGCGCCACCAAGCTAACAGGACCTGCACCCTGTCCTACAGATCACATCCCCGTAGGCTAGAAGGACACAGCCACACCACTGCTTCAGAGCTATGTGGAGGTGTCTATCACTTGCTCTAGAGTAGCAGTCTACCACCCTTTGAGTGGGTCGAACGACCCTTTCCCTGGGGTCGTTTATCAGATATCCTGGAAAATCGTGTATTTACATTATGATTCATGACAGTAGCAAAATTAGTTAGGAAGTAGCAATGAAGTAATTTTATGGTTAGGGGATCACCACAATACAATGAGGAATTGTATTCAAGGGTTGCAGGGTTAGGAAGCCTAAGAACCACTGCTCCAGAGGCTCCCGATGGTGCCTGATTCTGGGACTGTTACCTCTCCAGTAGCAACCTCCCCATGAGACTTCCATCCTTCCTCCTGGCTGACTGACTGCCCAGCACATCTGAACATTTGAGTATCCAAGTCACATACAGCCCAGTGTGCTCCAGTGTTGATAGTTGGTGTGGGGGGGGCTCTTGATTTGGAGTTCCCAGGTGTATTGCTGCAAGGCAGCGTTTAAGTAGAGACTGTTCGTTCATGGCCACCCAGACCCAAATAATCACACAGAAACTATATTAATTACAATACTGTTTGGCCTATTAGCTCGGGCTTCTTATTAACTAACTCTTACATCTTAAATTAACCCATTTGTAGTAATCTGTGTATTGGCATGAGGCTGTGGCCTACCAGAAAGGTTCTTGTGTGTCCTCCTTTGGCAGTTACATGGCGTCTCCCTTATTCCACCTACTCTATAGATCTCTGTTTGGATTTCCCACCTGGCTTTACTCTGCCCTGTCGTAGGCTGAAGCAGCTTCTTTTTTTACTAATGGTAATCTTTATTAGCCAATGGTAATAAAACATATTCACAGCATACAGAGGAGAATCCCACATCAGCAGCATTTCAGGGGAGACATCCTGGAGAGCCTCTGGGTCTCCTGACCCCCTCTGGCTGTGTCTTTGGAGGACTGGTGCTATAGATCACAGGCTTCTCTGGCTCCCTATGTGTCTACAAAGTTCTGTCGGCACTGGCTGCCCTTCCCCAGAAGACACCAAAGCCCTAATGGACAAACACATACCCTCCCTGAGAAATATGCTCTACAAGAAACTGTTGAACTAGCTCTGGGGCAGAGAGCTGACTCAGTAGTACAGTGCTTGCCCATAC